CACTGAGCAGACTTTGGTGGTTACCCCTGCCTAAACGATGCAGACTGCTCACAGGTCAGAGCTGTGCTTTATTTATTATTCACTAATTCCTTTGGCATGAGTTACAAGAGGGACATATATTTAAAAGCAGTGATTCATGCTGTTTCTAGTAACTTACTGAAATAATCGACGTACGGTTGCCAATGCTCCCTAAAATTACCCATCACGACACCTCTCTAAAACGGACACTGTAGGTAATAGCTGAATATAACAAATAGGTAAATTCAATTTAAGACTCGGGGAACTCCGACAGAGATGCCATTCTGCTGGGTGTCACCCTACTGTTCTCCTCTTAAAATCCAGTTCTGCAATGGCTTTTGGTAAGAACAGGACTAGACTGGTAGATCGAAGGTATCTGTAAGCCCCTACCTAAAGCATATTGGCAGGAATCCGAAATCAAGTCAGAACAGACTGATAAGAGAACTAGGTTTAATTTAATCTGCATGCCAAACACCTCTCCTTGGCACATGCTGGGACTGTGGGCAGATACTCTTCTCATCCATTATTCAGAATAGAAGGGTTACCTTTTAGCGCTCAGATTTCCATCACCTCATGGCAAATCAGAGGAGAAAACTCCGTGCGGCCAGGAGACAGCCAGAAGAGAAATAGATTTACACTTTCTAATAATACGAGGCGCTTCATGTGCCGGGGCAACATTTTGTTTCAGCATTAAGCAGCCCCTGTGATATCTTGCGTACTTCATTCACGCGACTGCAGCCTTACGAGCAGGTCCAGGGTGGGAGCATTAGGAAGAAGCATCAGCACAGGCCATTGGAAACCAACCTCTCGTCTGTACAGCCAGATGATCAAAGACACCCAGCCTGTAAGCACTGGCTTTGTGAGAGAGCACCACCCCTTCAGAAGATAATGCCCATATGCGAAAGGAACGCATCCATCCTAATTCTCTTGTGATGGTTTTCAGTTTCCTGTTGACTCGGACTTACTTGAATTAAAGGCCCTTTGGATGGTATGTTTTGGACACCCACACCTTTATTCATAGAATCATAGAATTGTTTGGAAGAGACCTTTAAGATCACCAAGTTCAACCATTAACCTAACCCTACCATTCCACCACTAAACCACGTCCCTAAGCACCTTGTCTACGTGTCTTTTAAATACCTTGGGGGTGGGGACTAGTTATTCTACTAGTTGATTTCTACTAGTTGATTTCTCGCACCCTTAAAATAAATACAATTTTGAGCTAAAAGTATGACAAGAAATGACCTAATGGCTGAAACTCTGGCTTAAAATGAGGAATAAAATGCATCCAGTCACAGGTTTGCTGGGCAACCACCTTTACCTGTCTCAGTATCTCTATTTGTAAATGAGGAATTAGGACATAGCTCTCATTTTATGAGGTGCTTTGAGGCTTTCAGGTAGACAGTGCGTTACTCTATTCACCAAAATACCCGTACTTTGTTTACAGTATGATGCCCCACAACTAAGTAGTAGACCTTCCTTTCCCCAGTTAAACACTCACGACACCTCCCACCCCTTTAGCTGATGTAAAAACCATCAAAACTGAGCACAATGCGCTCTCATCATTTCCCAGGCTCTTGCAACTTCCAGATGCAACAGAAACAAGCGTTACTGGATGCACATTACAGGCCCAGAGTGATGCTGAAAGATCTCACAAGACCATGTTGTCCAAGAGCTGAGGTAGTGACTATTGCCCTGTACTGGGAGGGTCTTGGACAACAGGCAAGAGAGGGCCTTGGGCAGAGGTAATAAGGTGTTGGGTGTTTTCTAGCTATCTCATTCTCCCACTTTCAGTGGATCTACACCACATGCGTCTGGTGCTGAACTATAACCACCTCCAAATACAAGGAACACAGCGTGAGACAGCTGCAGTCGTACAGAAATCTGAGGAAATTCAGAAATAAATGGGAAGAAAAGGCACTGTGGAGCAGGTGGAATTGGTCGCTTACCCACCAGTGCCCTCCAGTGGCTCACAAGCAACTCAAGGCATGGAAGACAAGAACCTGTTTCAGAGGTCAGGCACCATTTTCACTGAAATTGTTTCACTAACGGACAAAAATGAAAATGCTGACATCTGGATGTCAAATAGCTCTTTTTAAAATTTAAGTTCTTTCACGGCAATCTCCTACATGCTATTGTTACATACCATGTCCATAAAACCCTACATTCCACCAAGTGAAGAAAGTATTAACTGCAAGCTGTGTAAAAGCAGAAAACAAAGTGATTCCCAAGACAAAAATGTTTATTTGTACTAACTCTTCAAATGGGTATACATTCACAATCTTTAAACGAAAACCAGTACACGTCTAGGGCAGTATGTATCATTAGAAGGTAATGCCTGCCTTAGTAATTAATGTTCATAAGTCAAGAATTAGTTACAAATTTACGACCTTCTATGCAAAAAACTTACACAGGGGTTAATGTTTTCAGTAAGACTATCCCAGTACTAGGCAAAACAGTGTTTGTAGAACAGGATTCTAAAACAGTTCCAGTATCATATCACAGTTTTTTAATGAGCGGAATTAATATTAGCAAGGGAAAAATATCTAGTGCCAAGCTGAATGTTCTGAAGCACTGAAAAGCAAATAGAAATGGTGAAGTATCTATTAAAATTTAAATAAATTATTTTAGTTACTTGAAACCTCACTTTTTGTCTGAAAAGAACAAGAGAGTATCATTACAGACTGGAGGAAAGAATTCCATAAAAACCTTTTCTCTGGATTTGCCTTAAAATAGGCTTCTGTACAAAACAAGAACAATTAAGATTTTGGGGTCTTGGTGGTACAACTAGTATTGGAATAATAAAGAAATCATCTTAAAATATATATTAATTTACCACATTTAGCTCATATAGCCCTTTATGTATCTTACAAAATGCTACTGTTCTACATACTGCACGTAAAAAGAAGTTTATATATATATATGTATATATACACATATAAAGGCAAAGCCAATCAGCTTGGTATTAAAAAAAAAAACCCAACACAAAGCATAAGCAGACACACTGAAAGTTATGCAGTAATGAGGAGTGTATGCTCCATGTGTGCGTTAGTGTAACAGCGCTTCCAATCTTAAAACATTCTTTTAATTGTCTAAGCAGAGTGCTTCCTCCAAGTCTGCTCTACCAGCTATTTCCTCTATTGCCACAAACATCTGATGTTACTTAACTTCTGGCCACTATCTGTTATATTTAGCACGAAATCAGAAATAAGGCAGGATAACTTTTCACATCCCTGAATATCTGAGGACATTCATGAGATCTTCCAAGAATTAATGCAAAACACTGTAGGAGCACAAGAGATGGTACCCCTGAGCTGAAGCATCCTCCTGTCTACACAAGGCTGCCCCAATGCTCGCCTATTTCAGAGTAATCCAGGCTACTTAAGTAAGCGTGACAATTATTCCCAGGCATCCCCTTTGTTTTAGCAGGTCTTGAACAACAACTTAAAAGCTTCAGGATGGGTTTGTGCTCATTATTTCTGATCTGAAAACATCACTGAGAACAGTGAACAACAGTTCTGATACTGCTCAGAGGTTTGGAGTGGATATTCAGAGCGGATGGGCATTCTTGCTGAGCTCTGTAAATCTCAATCCTAACCGTTGTCTCACACCTGCAAGAATGAGTCTGCTCTTCATGTATCTAGCATATATTTTACCAAAAAAAAAAAATAATTTAGCATACAAGAAAAGCAAGACAGATTTCATTTAACTATCTTCTCTTGCAGCAACCTTCTTAAAAAAAAAATATCAAAAAACCCCCAAACCAAGCCAACCCCACCCTCAAACTCCTTAAAGTCACAAATTTCCCAATAATAAATAAAATTAACCTCCCTGATAAAGCAAAGGTGCCTGAAAAAAACCTAGCTGAGATACCTGGGGAATTAAAAAAAAAAAAAAAAAAAAAAAAAAAAAAAAGAGACAGATGCCTTTGAAAAGCTTTCTGAGAGATTGGTCATGAAGGACTTGATCCAGCACCTATTAAAGTTTTGTCCAGTGAAAGAGTTAATTTCTGAATTCTTCATTTCTCTGGGGAGGCTGGTTCAGGACTAGAGTCCAGCTGAGGTGTCAGTCACTGGCAGGCACTGAAATGAATGCAGTCCGCGTACTGGCACATAACCCTTTTGACAACACAGGCATGCTCTACCAAGGAATTCCCAAACGTTCCTTGCAGCATTGTGTGGAGTGCAACACTTTGTAGCTGATGGTTAAGCTAGAAACACAGCATGACAATTTTGAGCAGTGGATACCCAAGAGTATCCCTCCCCACCCACCAAACAATACCAGTGAAGAACGACCACAGGTACAACACTAAAATGAACCCTAGGCTCCGGGGTTCAGAATCCCCAGGTCAACATCTCCCACTCGTTTAGGGGAATGGGATTCTAGAAGAGCCTAGCTCCTGGGAACAGCAAGGGAGAAACACAGAAATACAAAAATGCAAGGATTAAAAAACAGAAGGGGAGGTAATGATCCCCCTCTAGAATATTCCCTTTAAAACAGTGTAATTAAAAACTTTAAATTCACTTAGAAATTGGTTTCAAAATAGTCTGACAGTTTTAAAGACTTTCAAAATCAAAATATTCTTCACCAGAGTTCATTAAAATATCCCAGTAGCCCCCTGAATAACTGCTACCACTTGTTTTGCATTAATATTGCTTAAATTAATGTAATCATAAACATGCAAAATGTTAAAATTTCGATGTGTATGCAGAATAAAACCAAGTTCTAATAGAAAGAGTCCTAATATTTCAAGGTTACAGGCTTGTTTCAGTCTCCATCAAAACCAGTGGGATTCCTCCCATGGTGTCCAGTAGATTTTGGACTAGGCCTTAATAAGAGACAACAAAACATTGTGTTTTATGGTGTAGGAACACAGACAAAGTACACTTGTGTATATAAACTAGATATGTAGTGCAACTTTCGCATTGCGCATCTTAAAACAGTTGTATTTTAGCCAGCAAAACAACAATCACCAAGCCAACACTGCATGCTATGTCAAACTAGGCTGTAAAACAAAAACCAATACCCATTCAGAGACATTCACGTTGTTACTGTTGCCTAGTGAGCAGCTTTGAACGAAGCTTAATGATACATCCACTTGAACCCAGATATAAATTTGAAAGGCAGAAAGCTGCATTAGTACGACAGCCTGATTGATTTTAGATGTGCTCTGGATGACTTTGAAGGCAGGATATCATCTCTCTGACAGGCTTCCCTTCATAGCAGATTTGATACACGGCAGTGAATAGCGGAAACCTGAGGAAACAGGGTGGGGAAAGCAAATGCAGCATAAGTTTATTCTGCAACATTTTCTTAAATGAAAGAAATAAAATGGGGTGAGGAGAGAGAGGGGAAAGAGAGAGACTGAAAAATCAATTTCTTTTAGCATTTGTCAAGCCCTAACACTGGGCTGAAAAGCTCTGGATAAATACAGAACGTACACGCATCTCTAAAATGAGTCACTCTCAGAAGCCTAGATAGCTCTAATGGAGCCTGCAACATTCATTATGGTATGGCACAATGATTAAGTGATCTAAAAAATTAAAACATTAAAACCACTCACATCTTTCCTTGACATTCTTACAGCAGTATCATCTATGGTTAAAAAGGATGACTGGCACAGCAGTTATGTATTATCTCTGAGCAATAATTTGATAATACAATTGCAGAATATGACACAAAGAAACCCAAGAAGAAATTGAAGGTCAAGTAGTTAATAAGAGTCCAAAATTAAACGTGGATTCTGAAACACTAAATTCTATCTCTTCTCTTTTTCTTTTTTAAATTGGCCACATTTCCAACAACCCTCAAATGATTCAGGCTTCTCTGATAATCTGAAGGCTCGTTACAGCCAAGATGCTTTACAGAAATTTTCATTTGCTTTCTGTCCATCCTGGACAGTGACAGCCAGACAAGTCCCAATTTCATACAGAGCCTGGTGGATTTGAGGGATTAATTATCTGTTCACCAGAATAAATATGCCCTTTCAATGTGGCCTTTTATATTGATAAATTTTGGCCAAACACACTACGTTATTTCGACTGAAATAAGAGCATTGGAGATGGTGAAACTGTTAATTTCTGAGTCATTCAGAATACCCCTGGACTGGGACTTTCTCCTCAGGACAGTGGTCCCATCAGTCAGTCACTCTAAAGCTTTATCTGTAATGCACAGATGCAGCATTCCACAGAACCCCCAACCAGTACTGAGCAGCACATATGCTTGCCCATACCCTCTGCTAGCACGTGTTATACTGAGGGAACTCTGGGATCACCATATAGCTCTGAACCAGACTCCTCAAAGTGAACCAGAGGTCACAAGAGAAGCCATGAGCCACTCAGGAGTACCCTTACAGGACAGTGACTGCTGCACTCTCAGGGGTGGATACAAGATTTTTACCTGGCTGAATGCAATACTTTATATTACTGGGGGGAAAAAAAGTGGAGGAATGGACATGCTTGTGAATTTAGTCCATTGTTTCTATGGCTTTTATTACAAGGGCTCAAAAATGAAATGCTGCATATTGAATTATCTGAAACATTTTTATGTCCTGCGATGAATGTGTGTCCATTTCTTTTGGTTTATTTTTGTGGAGAACAAGACAAAAATAGCAGCAATAGCAAAAACTATTTCAGGTTGATCCAACTGACTTGATTTTTATTTCAACAGTGGAAGCAAAATTAGCACATAGCCACATAGCTGATCTTTCAAATCCAATGCTACACTGTTCAGGTTGCAAAACCCTTACTAGGAAATATGCAGAAAAAAAAAATTAATAAATCCAAATGTGTAACATGCCTCACTTACCACTCATTTTGTATAATATATTGGGCTGTGGGGGCTGAATTTGCTTTTACTGTAAAAACTTAGATGTAGGCACTAAAATAAAATTTGTTAGGCCCATGTGAGATTTTACTAGAGGTGGCCACAAAGCACATGAACCTTCTGAAACAAAAGCAAGTTTCACACAGCTTTAGATACAGTACTGGCAGTGACTTCTCAGTGAAGAAGTACCACTACTACAAATCACATCTTGCTACGTAAGTCTTGCTGTTTATCAGAGAGAACATTACTCTGCTATGCACAGGTCTGCCACGCTTTGCACGGGGAGAGCAAACTCCAAACACATCTTATGTCTGAGCACATTAAGAGGGCTAGTTCTACAGCTGTTGAAATGAAAAAAATAATTTCACTGTAACTATCGATAGGCATCAACCCCACTATCAAGACTCCCCTTACTGAACTTTGACTTTCGCATATTTCTATGCCTTGGGACTCTTTTTGTAAGATAAGAGAATGAAATTGTACTCTTACTAGACTTCTACCTCTTCGCTTTGAAACCATGGCTGGTTTACTGTGTTTTAAAGCAGTAGCAAGAGAGTTTTCAAAAAACACTTTGAAAGTTGCTTTCAAAAGTCTTGTTGAATGAGACCTTTTATGAAGAACTCACACATATATGTTGCTACACCAAACGGAAATTAGCAACTCTCTGTTTTCATATCTTTCATTAAAAACACAGCCCAAAGTCTTCTATAATGCACTCTATTTGTTGTAACATAGAATCGGGAAAAAAACAACCAAACAAACAAAAAAACCTCAAACACAGCATCCTGTCTCATTTAGGGAGTTATAAACAGCAAAGACTGAAGCCAACATTTTAATTAGATTTTTTTCTGCAGTTAGCTTAATTACTGTACACTGCAGAGAGAGACTTATGTGCCTTACTCCCAAAGATAATGTTAAAAAATAAGCAACTTAATGTCACTGATCCATTAAAACTAGACTTTAAAAACTGCTTTGGAAAAAAAAAGTAACAAAGCTTGGTCTTCTGACTATCAGTCATTTATTTTCTGATTTTGCCTCCTCTACAAACAGGAACAGATAGAGATAACACATTCCTTAATCTCATAAGGAGACAACTGTGTGTGTGGCTTTAGGAGTCATACATATTAGCAGTCATACATATTCTGACTTGAATACAAATGAACAGGCCAGGACAACCTGCTTTTTTTGGGTTTTTTCTACCACAAAAAAACCCCTGACCTACACAAGCAGATGGCAGGTTTTATCCTACAGCAAACTGGAAGTCACATTAGGAAAGAGAACTGTGATATCTGATCTAGAATCCATGTGGACAGAAGCAGACACTATTCAGCTGATGAGCTATACAGATCCTTAATGACAAAGAGAGAGACAATGCTTATCTCCTTGGAGATAAGCAATGAATTTACTGCTATGAAATGAGCTGCAGAGCCTCTTCAGAAGTCTCTTTAGAAAGCTCAGCTCCTATTTTCATGTATTTTATTCTTTTCACATGTTAAAACACACTCTGCTATGCTTTTCTATGATAGCAGGAGGCAATAGTACATTCTGTAAACAGAAGGGCATTCACAAATTCAATGTCACACTATTAGCTCTATCTACAACAATATTATTTTGAGATTTTATTCACTTCTCTCTGTGATTTTTAACTGGGGATTAAGCTACTCTTATTACAGTGATTTTCTTTTTGGCTACTACCTTCATGAAGACACCAAGACTAAAAATGCAAAAAGAGTTACGGAGATAAAAAAGGGGTATTTGGAACTTGCTTTATCCATTCTTACTTACTTTTCCAGCATTCCTTTCTGCTTGAGGATGCGGTACACTTCTGCAGAAGTCTGTGGTCCTTGCAGTTTCTGACCATTCAACATTTCTTGCTCCAATTCTTCAATAGACTAAACAACAGAGGGGGAAAAAAAGGGAAGAAATGGAGAGCTATGAAGCAATGGTAAGGTTTTCATAAGCCTGACAACATCATCTGGATGGAAAAAAAAAGATGTTACTGAGTGTTTTTCCTTTCTCAAAAGCGTACTTGAGTAAGCATATATAATACTGTTCTATATTCTTGTTTGTAAATATTCTCCTCCTTAAATCTGCATCTCCCACTATCTTATCCCTCCAGCTTTTTTCTTTTAATCACTGCTCCTTTTTAACACCTTTACACTCATTCTAGCCTTGTAACACACCCAAAAATGAGAGGGAGAGAAGGATACTCACTTGGTACAGCTAGCATGTCTCAGATAACATCTATTACTCCAATAAACCAGGAGTGCTAGTACTTGCAACAATGGATTTCACCCAGTGAACAAGGTACCTTTCCAGTTTTAACAAACGCTTCTGCTACACGTCGATTCCGGCCACCGTAACACGTTGTGATGAGATCAGCAACTCCACAGCTCTCCAGGAAAGTGGCAGTAGACACCTGTCCTTTGCAAAAAATTCTGGCAAAGGCAATCATCTCCATTAGGCCAAGGCGAATAACAGCAGCTTTGGTATTGTCACCGCAGCAAAGGCCATCACAGAACCCGGCTCCTACTGCCACTATATTCTATTGAGAAGAGAAAAAATAAATAGGAAATGAGTCAATTATTGCTTACAGAATCCTAGAAGACACCAAAGACAGAGGGCAGATGTCTTAAGAACTGCAAATACTTTATTAATGTAAGACGATGCTGTTGTTTTGGTTTGGTTTTTTTTTTATTTTTTGGTTTCAGGGGTTATGTCATAACCTTTAAAAAAAAAAAAAAAGATGAGAAGTCTTATATTACTAAGTATTTCCAAGGATAAAAGCATAGTTAAAGCTCTGGAACAAGCTCCCTGGAGACTGTGGAGCTATTATCAAGAACAAACAGGTTACAGTACGCCCAAACAAAGTTTTATATAGATTGAGCTGTTCCTGCCCCGAGGTAGGGGTAAAGCTAGACTGACATACCACAGGCCTTTTATCTATGTTTTCTTTATGATTAAAGTAATGCTGAATCTAAGAAACATTTATTGACTTCCATGCTGATATGCTAAGGGACCAAATTCAGCCAAGCTAATCGTATTCAGCCCTTTTAAGCATGCAGAGTTCCTGCAACAGTAATCAAGGGTTCCCAGAAGGTTCATGATATGGGAAGACCTTTCCTAAGCAAAAAAAGTTGTTTTTTTTTTTTCCCCTTTGACCTGGTGACAGCCTTCTACAAAGAAGGTACTGTTTCTTTGTGAACAATCAGCTATACAGTCCCTTCTTTGGTTTACAAACAGAGATTAGTTGAGACACATTTGAGTGAAGTGACTAAAAAAAAAAAAAAAAAACAACCCAAAACCCAAAACACTCCAGAAGAAGTGGCATTCTGACATACTGATAAAGCAAACAAGGAAGCAATAGATGTAGTAATACCTTTCTGCATGCAACAAAGGCAGCAGTGACCTCAACGGGAACCACAAGAGAACCAGCATTATGGCACCTAACGTAGCGCCTGATGCAGGGAAAATACCCAAACAACCAAACCAACTTTAACTGTTGCTGAAGAAACAGCAACAGTCAGAAGTTGCTAATGAAAGCAACAAGCTGATTAACAGCTGATTTTGTTTTGTTTTTTGAACGGTAAGAAGCAAAAACTGCAGGCAGCTGCAGTGCTCTGTGGCCAGTCATGTTTACGCGACTCGATTAGTGAGGTCAGAAGATGAATCACTGCTTTTTGAGCATCTAGCAGAGGTCTAAAGGTGACTTTAAAATTGCAGACATATCTCAGTATCAGACCTGAAGCAGCAAAAGATGATCAAAGTTTTAAAGCTGGTGCTTTAGGTCATCTTGGCTTAAATCTTGGCTGTGATGATTCAGTCAAAGCATGTTTTCATTGGATGCCTCTCCCAGACTAACCTCCAAGATGGGTTCATTTGGTGGCAAAGCAAGAGGAAGTCAAACAGGTATTTTAAGTCTTCAGACAGGATAATCCATTTAAATGGAATTTGCGCATAAGGGAAGTCTGCAAGTGTTTAGCACTCAGCTAAAAATAAAAACATTTTTTACAACCTCTGGGCTTCTCCCATGTACTTCTTGAACTTTCCAATACTAAAGCTTGCCCTTCCCTCCAACTTTGCCTGCTTTGACTTTCCTTTCCACTTTGAAGCAGCCTACCTCATCATAATTTACATATGATTTGGCCTGTGGCATTTTGTTGTCTATTTCCACCTTTTGCAATGTTTTTCTTTGGAGCAACAGAAATATTGTTCTAAGCAAGCCATACCAAGACTAGCTACTTCTGAGGAAATGGGGTAGGAAAGAAGAGAAGTTGTGAGTCTAACTCTGAAACACTAAGCTCCTTGTTTTTACAATGTCCCCATTGTATATTCTTACACATGGTTTGCAAATAATGAGGAAACAAGACAACTGATTATGCTCTAGAACACACACCTGCACTTAGGAGACTCTTATACCCTGGTCTACATAACCCTCAGGCCACAACTATGAATTTACAAGCTCTACCATCTGGTTTCATTTAAAACCTTGAAGAATCTATGACAACTCTCTCGTGTCTAATATTCTGTAGAGAACTGAATTATACCACACTGAAAGTTACACCTCACTGAAAGATGAGCCACTCCTTTTAAAAACAAAACAGTAAAAAAATCTCACAAAACTTTAGACTGAGTCACCTTTCTGTCCAAAATAAGACCAAAACAGGCAGCCTGGTACTTGAAATCTCTGGGTGCAGGCATTACATCAAGTTTGTTTCAGGAAGATGCATAAGCAAAACACATATTAACACCCAAGAGCCTAAATGGCACTAGCACTATAGCGATCCTCTGAAAGCAGACTGGCGTGAGGAGGAGAATCACACGTCTATCTAGCCAAAGCATCCTTCTGTATCTGATATGGTTGATCCTGAACACTGCCATTGCCAAAGCCCATACCTGAAGTTACAGGAGTTCCTACAAATGCAATAGGTATACATTTGTGCAAGAGGAGAGAGCCCATGTTTTCATGAGCTCAAAGACTGACTGTATTTGCATACACAACATGGGGGTCTGTCAGCCTAATAAGCAAGGACAACTTTAGCCTACATACAAACCTGTTGTTCCAAAGGTTCAAAAATACTGTCACAACAACCCCAAAATGACTGCAACACAGTCTTCCTCTTGGCCTAAGGTGTCCAGAGCTCTCAAAACCACTTCACACTTGAACAAACACATTTCCCCCATCTCGGCATTAACAGCTTTTTGCACTAAAGCATGCACCCTGTAAGCAAGATGCACAGGGTATTTTTATATTGTATATGGTTTTAAGCTATGAAAATACTTTGCACTAACAGGCGAGTCTTTAGCTGGTCTGGTATGCAGACCTAGTTAGTCCTAGTCCTAGTTATTCTAGAACATGAGCAAGGACTGAACTCAGTTATTTAATCACTGGGATAGTGAAGATATACTCCAGAAAATAAATGTTGATGCCAGGCAGTGCTTACAGCATGTGTCAGAGCGAATGAGAAGTGTCTTTTACTTGCACATGACCTGCTGCAAACATGCCAGGGGTCACAAATGCAAGGTCAATAGATGACCAAGGAGTCAAGATTAACAAGACCACAGGCTTTGCTGACAGACTGTTCTCTTACACAGTCAGTGCTCAGAAATACCCAATTTACAGTCCTACCCTGTTTACCCTAAGTTTATGGAGTGCTCAGGAAGACAGCTTCAGAGGACATTTCTGAGGCAACCAGTAATTAAACCATAATTAAATGCATCATTGGAGAAGTAAGCAGAAATGTTAATTCACCTGGGACATCCAGCCTTCCTTGAGGTAGTGTCACAGGTGAGCACAGCCTCCTTTCCCTCCTACTTACACATGAACTTGGAGAAGCTCCTTGCTTCCCATCACAGCTGAGAGAGGTCAAGTGAAGACTCAACAAATCAAAGACAGTATCAGCAGGACTGTCAGAGAGGTTAAGCATAAACTGCTTGCTTGCTCCTGGCAAACCTGAATGTAAATAATGGATTTCATTTCCACTTAATCTCAGGAAAGAGTAATTACCACAGTCAACTTCTGCACCACCTAGGCTGACTATCCAACAGTGACTGCCATAAGCACACTTTGCAGGACCACCTTTGTAAGTAATAATGCTGGGTTACATAACATGCTAAACAATAAGTCACTGTTATACTTCTTACTTCTTTGCTTAAGACTAAGCCAGAGCCATGAGATTTAGAGATGGGCCTGAAGCAACCTGAAAGGCAACCACAGCTGCTGCTCCTTCTCCTTCCTACAGTAACTGTCACCTCTGTCTTCGTCCTTGGCTGCTGCCACTTGAGGGAGGTGAACTCTCCAGATCCCTGAACAAATACATCAGGCAGCTGGAACATGGCCATTCTGCCATATCCAGAGATTAGATTCTCACTTCTCCTTCCCTCATACTCACCCCTGTCACTGCTGCACTGGGTGATTCCAGTACAGTTTACACCCAAGAACGCAGCTACCGATGTTTATATTGCCTCTTAAGCTCAGTCTTGCCTCACGTTTGTGCTCTTTGACTGTAAGACCACACGCTGGCACAGGTACTAAGGACTCTAAGAACACCTCAGAGGTGATGACCTTGGGTCTGTGCTATCCTGCAGCATCACATCCATCAGCATCCAGGAGCACATCCATGTGTATGCATAGCTGCACATACTACTCTTACGTGGTGTCATAACCTTTAAGCACTTCCTAGGAAGGCCCCTGCATTTTCTTGCACATGGCAGCTGGAACTTGTAGTTCGCCTTGGGTCAGGCTGTCTGTAAAGTCAACTGGGTACCTTGAAACTGAACTATCCAAATTTGAAGCTTGTTAATTTCTGACCTCAACCCTTAGAAAATGTCAACAAATAAATGTGAAGTGTGCTTCAGTCCTCAAAAGAAAAATATCCTGATAGAGAAGAACATGACAAGCACTTTTTGTTCCTACAGCCAACAAGGTAGACAGCTGTTCTTCCTCAGCATCATCAGACTTTGTATAGTGACTGCCATCATCTATTCAGGTGACACAAGACTGCAGTTTCACTGCACTGATTTCTGTACTTCAGTCCATCTTCATCAGCCCATTGTCACAAAAAATAAATACAGTAAATGAAGTGGATATTAAATAAACATATGCATATATGTATGTTTATGTATATAAATAGCAATCAAACGTGTTACTTCATGACCATCCAGCTGCCATACTTATTATTACACTCTGAATTCAAATATGCCTAAGAAAACACATTTCAAACATAAAGTTATCGTTATTGTAAGGAAATGTTGTGCTCAGAGCATTCTCTGTCATCCTTCTGTATTTTTCCCCAACCTTTAGGCAGCCATCCACATTGAAAATCTTCCCTGCTTAGAAAGGCTTGCAAAAATAAAGAGTGAGGTAAGTACAGACTTTTAACAAGATCTAGTCTATTATGCCAGAATTACCAGAAAAGCCTCCTTTTCCCAAGCTGCTATTTATAGAAAAAAGCAGAAGCTGGGAGAATATATTATTTCTCACAGTATAGTATTTCTCATCTTTTACATACCAATACAGGAGTTGCTTTTACTATTTCCAAAAAGACAGTCTGGACTGGCATATGTGCCTGCTTACTTCTGTCCTCTAAGGCACAAAGGAGTTTGCAGTGATGCTGCTGACATTTTGAATTGGTACTGCTATAGAAAGGGAGTAGAACCTCTCTTTTTATATCTGTCTCTTCACACAACATGACACAGTCATCTTCTGAAATAGGAATTTCCACCTTCCAGCAAGTTAAATAATTCTAATTTTTACTATTTTTCATGATGCAACTTTCCAAGTTTAATAAAGTAACTGTCAGCTGACAGAACCTACACTTTAGATTTTTCCCTAAAAACAATGACATGAAAAGATGCTTATTTTTCACATTTTTATTACAAAGATTATCAATCATAAAAAAGTAAAGGGCTTGTTGTTACCCTTAGCAAATGATTCTCCTAATAATAAGAATGTACAACTTCTAAGAAAAAAAGCTCAAGTTTATATTTCAGTATTCACAACTGAGCTTTGCATTTTGCTTTGTGCAGAAAATAAAAACATACCCGTCTGTTTAACTTTAGCTTCTTCCTTTTCTTTCAGAGGCATACATGTTCCCAATGCATTAATAAAATTTTGCAATGTTTGATTTAAAAACAGCTCAGGAAATTATTTATATGCTGTCAGAACAAGATTTAGGAATAAATGAGAAAGGGTTTTAAATAAAAAATTACTTTTAAAAATATGATGTTAATAAAATTTTCTTTGAGATTAAGGAAGAGTTGTATGTTTAAAAAACATCAACTATACTAGCATGACTGATCTATGCCACTTTATACCAGTTCATGCATTTTAATCAGGCAAGAAATCCATAGTGGTTTTAAACAAGTTAATTTATCCTTAATTTCCTTTTTGTTTAGAGCTCATAGAATCATAGAATGTTTTGGGTTGGAAAGGACCCCTAGAGGTCATCTAGTCCAACCCCCCTGCAGTGAGCAGGGACACCGCTAACTAGATCAGGTTGCTGAGAGTCCCATCCAACCTGGTCTTGAATGTTTCCAGGGATGAGCCTCCACTACCTCTCTGGGCAACCCATTCCAGTGTTTCACTACCCCAAAAGGCTGCAAAAAGGTCTCCTATGAATTTCTTTGGAAGTCTCAACTCAGTTAACAAAATATACTGCAATCAAAACCAAATGACCAGAGCACACAGAATATATACAACTTTCTAGAAATGCAACTAGGAAGTTCAGTCTGCTGGATGCACGATGAATAAGGAAGCAGAAAGGAGGAACAAAACAAGGCTACGAAGAAAATACACAAGTTTCAGCGCAGTATCTTTCCAGGCCAAGAAGAACAATTTATCTAAATTCTCCTGCACTTCCAAAGAGATTCTAGTATCTTGCATGACTTGGACCTTTACAGTGGAGCTTCAGTGCCTGCTGATTGGCTGCTCAGTTTGATGGGCACACTCATCTCTAGCGCCCTTTCATGAGATTTGCCTGGAATAAAAATTATCTGGGACATAACTCCCCTATCAAGCAAGAATTTAAACTAGCCAGAAAACATAAGGCTGAGAAGATTTCAAAGAAAAATAAATCTGTAAAACTTTTTGACTAACTTCATGGGTCTATACACAGGGATTTCTTTCCTGCTAACCCCCCTGCATCATCACAATATTTTAAAGCAATGACTGTGGAGCCAAATTACGAGCTCTGCAAACTTGAGAAATTGCTATAAATACAGTAACTCCAAAGCGTGTTACACCAAAGTGTATCCCATTAGCCCAGTGCACAGACCCATGATCTTCTGCTCTTCAGAACTTCCAGTATGACAGCTCTGAAGAAAAAATTATCAAGAAAACTAGTGGGCCAAAAATTATGTTATTATAGTTATCAATCTACTTCCCGCTAAGCAGGAATCAGAACTCCTTAGCTTAAAGACATCATTCACTGGCTTGGTACCTTTGCAGGTGAATGGTGTAGTTTACACATAATTTCAACAGAGAAAACAAAGCAATACAAAATAATTATTCAAAACATAAAAAAACTGAAAAGTAAACCAAATTATCTACTAAATCACTACACCCATCCGAAATGCTTCCATGATAGATATCAGATAACGTGAACTACAGTACTATTGGCCAGGGTGGCAAGCGACTAATGCCTTCCTTTCACAAATGTCCTGTAAATTAAGCTGAAAAAGTAGCAATAAGAATATGTTTAAGTTAGCCTTTGCTTCCTGTCAGCATCAATTTTGTTACCAAAAAATTCCAGATGAGTAACTGTCTGCAATAACTTCTTTCCTATTCAGGTCATTTCTGTGTGTGGTTATCCACACGAACCTTATGTCCACAAGCTATAAAACATAACAGTGCTCGCATTGTGTAAGCCAATGAAGAGGGGAATAGTTTTGTCAACAGACACAAAGAATTAATGCCAACTTCTTCCTTCCTTTCTTTTTGTGAACACACTGGTGCAAAACGAAGAGGAAACTAAAATGGATTTAGGAACATGTTGTCCAGGTAGATGAAATCAACACTTGTTTCATGACTGTGTGTAAGCTAAATGAAAGATGTAGAAAGAGAACTTGGGAGACGGTGAGACAAGGGTCTAAAAGCCCACTCTCAGAACATGCTGCTCCCTAATTTCCCATCCAATTCTTCCGGAAATGTTATGTAGCAGTTTTATATATTATATAAAGTACAAGAAACTTAATTCTTTAAATGAAAATACCCTCTTTTTTCTACAAGGATCACCATTCCATCTGTGTACCAAAAGCAGCCTGTTAATCTTACCTTCAGAGCACCACAAAGCTCAACCGTATCTGCATCATCTACTACAGTTATTCGGAAGTTTGGAGTCTGCAGGAGTTCTTTGAAGAGAAGGCCATTTTCCAAGATTTTGCTGCCTGTTGAGAGAGAGAAAGGAAGGCTAAAAAATGAATAATTTATTTGGGTGTTATTTAGCCTTTCCTGTGCAAGCCAAAATACTTAAAAGCAGAGATGAGGTTGTTCTATCTTCATCCTAAACAGACTCCTGTTTTAAGTGACTAAAGACATGTCTACATTGCACTTAAAAGCTCTGCACTGAGTTACTCTGGACTTCTTCATAATTCATTGTCTTCTCAGCAACAGATTCTAAATAACAATTCCATTAATCCTCTATACTCTCTCTGGTTTTGATCATTCTCTTTAAAAAGAACAGCTAATAATAAAACAATGGTGAATTAAAAATATAGCAGGTGCAGTTCTACCAATTATTTTTAAGGTCTGCATTCCAGAAAAATACCTACTGACAAAGGCATGTCAAAGATGTTTTATTAATTGAGCATGCTGCTACTGACAAATGTTTCTAAGCGCTAAGAGGTAATTCAGCCGTTCAAAAATAAGTTCAATACAAAAGCTGTTAATGGGAGGTTACAAATCTAAAAATGCACAAAACTGTAAAAATTAACACTGAAAAAATAACATGAACTCTGTGCTGTTATGTATGACTACCTACGCACACACATGCCTATCTAGACACTGTGAAATCCAAGACTAGGCAAGTCTTTGTGCTCCAAAGGTGCACAGACATCAACACAGAACTAAAACCATGTCCAGCTTTCGATGGAACTAATTATTTTGAGAAATTAAAACAAGATATTGGTACCTTAAAAAAACCCCAACTCAAACATGCATAAAGGTACTGTCTGTGACCATAACACGTGAGCTGGAGTAGAGAATATATAATCATTTATCCATATAAAGCCATGCAGACCCAAGAAAAATCTTAGGCACAGTAATAAAATAAAGCAGTGTTATGTGGAGGGTGATAAAAAGCATGCTTAGTATTTCACCTGTAAGGTGACAACCCAAGTGAGACTAGGTAGAATTGCATTCCTCTCTCTCCCTCTACTCCTGGTATTGTCCTAGTACTTTTGGAAGTGTAAACATTCTAGGAAATTCAACATTAAAATAAGAACCCAACAGTTTCTGATAACAGCCAGCTAATGTTGAAAATGATAAAAATTTGAGCTATTTGGTGTGCAACTGTGAGGGCAGGAGCATGTAGTAAACATTCTTATTACTCGGAACAGTACCTATTGTGGTTTCACAGAATTTCTCTGCTGCCACCTCATTGGCAATGTTAGCTCCCATCAGCACACTGATGTCTATTCCCATCTTCTCTCGGATAATGTCAGAGATCAGTTTGAGTCCCTCCGGGCCTTCATCTATTCCCTGCAGCCAACATTAAATGGAATTACTAAAAAGTCATTCATTAGACACAGTAGAGAAGAAAGCACATCACAATTAGTCTGGTCCATGGGTCAGAACTGCAACAAGACCTATTCAGATAGAGACTAAAGACGACAAACTTGCTACTGGTGAAACTTCTGCTATTGTTGCGACCTCTCCAAGCTGTCTCCTTTTCATAGGAAGTAGCACCTTAAGAATCAGGACTAAACTCTAGATGACAGTAACAGTTTTTATTCCACACTCAAAGACCTGATTCTAAAAAGTGCTGAATATTCAGCTTTGTTAGTTCAGAACCTCAGCTGCTTATTATCAGTGTATCCTTACTAAAACCAGTGAAGCATCACCAATCCATCAATTGTGAATCAGGCCTGCACTTGGACTTGAAATTGCACTAAAACTCACAAAATGGCATCCCAATAACTTGTTTTGTGAAGAAGTATCTGAACTGAAATATCAGAGACAGATTCCCTGCGTATAATACTAACAACAGTTTACTAGTAGAAATCCAATTTAATAATTTTGAATACTACTACAAATGGAACAGCCATTCACAGATACGTAGAAAGCTGAACAACTGAGAATATTTAACTTCTAAGGATATTTTTAACCTGTATTTATGACGCGCTCTTTACAAAATGTGAAAGTAGGGGCAGAAATAGGACCTTAGGTAAGATCATCCCAGAGACTAATGCTGCAATGGAGAAGAGAGTCTGGTACCCTGAATTGGCTGAACCAAGAATTCCAAAGAAGACCACTTTCTTCTCACAAAACCCTTTTCTCCTAGCCTGTTACATGCAGACTCCTTTTGAGTTTTTAGAGCAGGGGCATGGCAGAGAAGGTACTGAAATGGTTTTTCTTTCCCACATTATACCACCTTTTGTACAGAACTATTTTTTAGTGTTGGGGATTTGGTACCTGTGAAGATTGGTAATTTTGAATTATGACTTAGAGGCAAAAAGGCAGTGTGATCCTCTACTACTTCCAGACACACATATACAGACACACTTTTATGTTGCCAGTAGTGGTATCTCAGGCAGGCAGTGATTTGCATTTCCAGAGATCAGAGGTGCAATTCCTTAAATGACATGGTGCAATCAAGAGGCATGCAGAAATGCCTGTATAAAACCAGCCAATTAAACTACAGACAACAGTGCCTGCATTTCTGCAATGTTTTCCCATCTGTATCACTTAATGCACAGTTCTGCTTTCTCATCTTTAATGAGCCATATAGAACAAATGTGAAAGCAAGCACACATATATATGCATTTTTCCCTCACAGTGTCAGAAGCGTCCCCACAAAATAACTGTAAGGCCCCTCCTCCTATGCAGGCAATTAATAAACAGAAAAGCATGCACACATTGGGAACAACTTCAAAAATATGAATACATACACAACGATTATTCATCCAAGTGAAAGGAGATCAGAGAAGCTTAGGTGCCAAGTTCAGCCCCGCTATGAAACAGATGCAACTTCTGACAAAGTCAAGGAGAGCTGCACCTGTTTCATGTAGAGTTAAATCCAATGCTGAATGACAAGATGACAGGAGAAAAAACAAACACCTCTCCCTCCCCCAAAAACCAAGGCTCCAACATGGGAATTTCCACTGGGCAGCAATGATCCCCAGGCAATGCAAGTCCCATTCTGTGGTCTTACCGCTTGCGGCCTAGCATGCCTGCCAGAGCAATCCCTGTGGCCTGTACATAGGTAGATGACAATGAGATTGATGTTGAGGCTGCCTTAAGAGTATTCTGAGTGATGTCCGCCTATCCTGCTTCCTGTGCTCACTGCTGTGCTGCACTGTAAGTTGTACACAGTTCCTCCGCCCACACCCATACAAAGATTCGTTAGGTTTTCATAGACACGAGTGATCAGAACTTATGTAAAGCAACACAGCTGTAAATGTTTCAGTGGGAACACAGATTAACCAGCAGACAAATGTCTTTATTTCCCAAAGACTCGGTTTTATTATCAGCCATTAGGCTCTGCTTGAAGATTAGACTGTCATAAACAGGAAAAAAAAAGAAAAAAAAAAGAAAAAAAAAAAGACTAAAGGATGACACACTGCTAACTTGCCAAGCAATTTAGAAAGCACAGAAACAAGATGTCCCACTAATGATATTTTTCAGAGCAGAACTGCACTTTAACTGCCAAAGTTAACACAACCCACTATAATAGCATTAGTGTGGACCATAATGAGACCACTAAAAATATGACTTTGATGAAAACAGCATGCATAAATAAGCTGCAAAAGTAGAGGAAAGAATGCATCCCTGCCTCTACTACTTAGTTTCATTGTTGTGTTAAATCTCTGCCCTTTCTTCTTAAATGATACTTTTAATGACACACAATTATGCCTTTTCATAAAAGCTAACATGTACTTCGCATTCTCCTGCAAAAAACATTAAAAGGGGCCTCACACCATTTTTTCAAGACCATCTACCGATGCAATGTTGCAATGTGACAGTGGGAAGCTGCCTAGTAATCAACTCTGCTTTGCATGGCAGGTGTCACTTACTTTACTTACACTGCACTAGGTATGGGCTTTTTTTTTTTGTTGGGTTTTTTTTGTTTGTTTAGGGTTTGGATTATATATATATTTTTAAGACAAGTATTCCCCCCCCCCTTTTTTTTAAACATAGCCATTAATCGATACTCCATTAAAGCACTAGTAATCAATACCCAGAGCAGTAATCCAAAAGGAATATAGGCCCAGACTCTGACTTCAGATACGCTGACATAAATCCTCATTTACTCCACCGATTTCATTAGAGTTATTCCTACCACTAAGGACATGAGAACATAAATCACATTTAGAAAATTAAAGGAGAATAAAGCTTATCTTGAGCTTACAGAAGAAAGAAGCTTAAACAGACAACTTCTAAGCAATAAACCTAAGGGTGTCTAGGACAGTTGTATGGTTTTGATGTTATACATTCAGCTCTTTTAACACTGCCTCATTTTATACTTCTACAATATGAAAAGTTTTTCTACAAAATGCAGCAAGTGCACTTGGGAAGCATTACTTTTTCATAGATCTCCACAATGCATCAGGTCAGCACTGACAAAACAATACAGATTTGATGGGCTTAGTTAGACAAATTAAAGAGACAAGCTTGCAGTAAGTAGTGATAGGGAGGTTTTGTTCTTTTTAAGCACAGATCCATAAATGCATCATTTTCCAGAAATTACAGTAAGCAAGGGAATGTGTGCTGAGCAAATGGCCTACTCTCAACTAAGTACAAAGCAACAACAATCTTCCAGACCTTGTGGGAATAACTTATTCTTTGCAGCTAAACACACAGGAGAAGAAAAAAAAATAGAAGCCCACCCACATTTAAAAATTCTCCTGCCGTCAAAACTACAAACACTCCAGTGAAATACTTCCCGCCCCTCTGCCCCCTCCTGTTTCCTATGCTCGAACTGTCTTTCTGGGCCATGCTGAGCAGACTCTCTTGGTGCAACATAATATTTGACATGAACAAGAGCACTATCCTCTCAGTCACATGAAATTCTCTCAGCAGTTCTTAAAATGATCAACTCAGCGTGTGGGATGTCTGTTAACAATCAAAGCATTATGCTTGTGCTCCGTTCATCTAACGATGCATTTGGAAACAACAAATAAAAGGTTGGAAAGCTTGGTGGTGCATAACATATTCACTCCCTCTTTCTTTTTAAAAGTCTTGTGAACAGCCTCATTTTCCTCATGCTGCAAGTGCTAGCCTAAAATAAAACACTGTATAGCAATCCACTAATGACTTGAGATAAATTCCAATCTTACATCTAGAAGGGTTCAGTGGAACAATCAAGTGAATAATGCAAAAAGACTTTCATATAAAAATATCATGCCATCTTGTTTTAGAAGAATCCATGACACATTCTCAATTATTAATGCATAGTATTTATTATACCTTTATGAGAGTTATACCGAGAGCTTTCTTGGGTATTCGTCCTGTGATTTCATCGCAGACTTTATGAATAAACTGATGAGGAATGACAAAAACCAGCAAGTCTGCATCCTGTACAGCTTCATTAAGGTTTGGGACAGCAACCTGTGTAGTTATGGGAGAGAAAGGCCACATAACTTCTTAAAATTAACACTATACACAAGTGTTATCTAGTAAGTAAAAGAACATTTTGGTCTTATATTGAATGCTACAAACTACTATGCTTCATTATTGACAATAAGCAGTAACATAAACTTCCCAGAAAAGCAAAAAAATTTAAGCTTTCAAACAAGCTATTTTATGCCTCGAAAGGGGCATCTTCACTGCCATCAGCATGGTTAGTGCAACGAAAATTCAAAATGTTACATAAAATTCAAACAAGTACTTTGACTAAGAAAATATAAAATAAGAATCTGCCCTCTCTGTGGCAAAATAATCTCAATTTTTGATAAATTATTGCATGCAGAGAAGTAGTTTCTTTACTTAGATCCTTATACACTCAAATGTCTTCTCTAGGCCTCTTACACCTACTAGTTTATATTATCTTTCTCTGTGCTCATAGATTTTGTTTATCCTTTAAGGTGACCTACTTTGAAGTCACTTGCCAGACTCCACTTTTCCTAACACTTGATGGCCATCTTAAAATAACACTCAGGTTTAAAATGTGGCAATAAGCTTGACCTATTGACAAAGAGAACAAACTTGACCGAGCCGGTAGTGGACAGTAGAAGCACCACACTTGTTGAAGGCTAGGGAAATTGTATTTCAGCATTATTGAAAAGAGAAAATTGCAATGCACAGCAATTCATGTTTTTCCTGCCCAAAATCTCTACTGAATTGTCAGATGCTGCAGTCTCTTCTTACAATGTTTTTGGGACAAGAGTCACCACCAGCCCATCCACTATCATGTTACATTAATCTTGCACTCATTTTCGTATTTGCTTCCCTATACAGAAGCTGAAGTAACATAAAGACAATAGTGAGAAAAAAAGAAAAAAAGAAAAAAAGAAAAAAGAAAAAAAGAAAAAAAAAAAAGAGTACAGTGCATTGAATTCATCTACCTGCATAAGAGTATAATTTTACTTGTTCAAATCTCCGATCTCATCGGTAAAATAGCATACAGTTTAAAATATTATAAACCCTGAAGTTGTTAACAAAACAAATTTCTACCTCCAGTCACAGCATGAGCAATATTCCCTCCTCTCCATAACTAGAATTTAGCTTCTGAGCCTTACCACATTATCTGGCAGCTTGTATCCGGGGAGATATTTTACATTTTCATGTTCATTATTTATGATATCTGTCAATTTTCTCCCATTAATATTCTCCTCGAAGACCCACATCTTCACTGTGGAAGCAAACTTTTGCAATTTTTTTACATTATTGCCTACTATTTTGGCAACCGCAGAACCCCTGCAGGAAAGAAAAAAAATACTTTTAAAAATTATGATTTTGCTCTAGAAGAAAGAGATTGTCTTTAGAATAATCAGAAATCCACAGGTTATCAGACCAGTTACTATGTAGCATTTTTGATACAGCAAAACAAGTGAAAAAATACACCAGTCATTCACACCTCCTTGCTTTCTCTCAAACAATTTTATCTAAAGTAGGTTGGACTGAAGCACTTACTGACAACATCCTTACTTATTTTGTCTTGTTATTGGCTATCCAGTGAGAGTTTGGGTTGTATTTCCACAAATCAAATGGATTGTATCTTCAAAGCAGTGGTAAAAGTGACATACTCAATTTTTAAAAATTCACTCTTAAGAAATGGGAAACTTTCTTTGCTAAGATGACTGACCCATCAACTGCTGTACCATATTGATATACATTTAAAACCAAGAAGCATTTATGTCTTGCATAAGTTGTATACTTTATGGTTATGCTACCAACCTCACAGAATTTAACTATTGCAATGGCATTGTCTGAATTTGCAGGCAGATTCCGTTATTGTTAGCGTCATTTTCTCCCCCAAAACTGCACACAGTGAAACCTGTAGGATGGTGATCACTCTTACTGCTCAAATCTCTAAGCAACAATGAAATTAATCAGAATTACTGAAGCTACATAAATGAAGAGGAACAAATGCAACCTTCCCTTCCATTCCTATCCTAAATGCTACATGGAAGAAAAAGATGCAATTTCATAAAGCCTGTTAGCCTAACTTCCTTTCCTGGGACAAGGTGGCAGCTTCATAATTACTGATAACCTACTAAGCAGACAAAAAAAAATAAATCAGAAAGATACAAAAAAAATACACAGAATCACCAATCTGAGGCTTACATGTGTGTTTGTGTGTGGAAACTGCACACTTTATTAAGAGGTAAGAACACTTTAACTTTACAAATCTAGTTATGCTCACACACTCCCCTAAATTTATTATGGGCATTGCTTGTAATAAATTCATAGCTGGCAACTAAACCAAATAGATTCATTGTGCTCTGAGAGGTTTTAATATGGTACAACAATATTGTGCTATATGAAAGATGTGTGCTATCACAGGCCTAAGGTCACTTTTTTTTTTCTAAGTAATGGCAGAAAAAAATATAGTATCCTAAGTAGACCTTCTTTGGCTAAACCATAAAACTGTATGTCTTAAAAGACTGGAATTTATTTCTCTAATAGCACTTCGCACACTACAAACTCCCCTGGGTTCAGGAGGTAATACAGAAGCCACAACTGTCAGCCACCTCTTATCAAGCTGATACTGTAGATCTGCATGTACACAGAGTGGTTTCTGCTGCAATGGTAGACAATTCACCAGCTCAATCCCCAAATTTCAGATCTACTCAAACAGTATGAATCACATTCAGCACAACACAGGTATGTGTACTTCAGAAAGTGCTTTGAGTTCCTTGAACAACAGCACATTTACTGCTGCACATTTATATACCAAGTCTGGATCCTGGTAAATCACTGTCTTCAGTTTTGAACTTCACTACACATTCTGGGTGCTTAGTGTTGATAAAGAAAGGCAAAAATAATGTATTCAGCAACTGTCCAACTGGGATTTTGAAGCAGTTTGCCAGCATAAAGTTTGGGCAGCATGTATTTGAGTGAGAGATTAATTCCATTACTATTTAACGCTTAAATGACTTAGCTGTCTCTTTTTCAACTTTTGAATGTAGTATGAAAAAAAAATTAAGATTTGCCTACTCTTAGTTCCTGAATTCAAGAATTTTCTCCTGACTGGCTCCTCTGGTTCCTCGTTTCCTGTTACGTTGCAACAACATTGTAGGACTGAATTAAGCAAGGTCGAACAACTGACACCAAGTCTAAGATCACTCTGTGCAAGGTGAAATACCAGCTCCCCACACCTGTTAATCCAACAAGCAAGCATATATTCTCTTCTGTGATGTAATACTCCTCAGTGTGTACTCTGAAATAATTTACTGGAATGTCTGGCTCATCTCGTACACTCCTGACACATTATAAGGCAAAGGAATGGGAATTCTTGCCAATTTATTCCTAGCAATAACAGTTCTAGCGTGAGCGAGGTTGCAAGACTTGGTGCCTGCAGCAGCTCAGTTACACAAGAAAAACCATAGTGAAAGATTCCCTCATAAATGTTAACCCTGACATGCTCTGAGGGGTGGTTAATGCTATTCAAGTAATACGAGGTAGCTGCATGCCAAACAGCCATTCTCTTCCTCACTATGACTATCAAAGGTACGCCCAAATACACTCACGTAGACTTATTTAACACTTCTGAAGAACTGTATTTGATGCTCACTGAGCAAGACCACCCATTTTGCCCCCTGCCCTTCACTTACAGTTTATCACAGTTGGTCTGTTTTTCCCTTATCACTTCGAAAGTACAGCACAAAACCCAGAAACTCCTAATGTGCCCTGATACCAGCATCAGCAGAGGTCACAATATGCAAGTGCAAATAATAGCATTAACTCTAGCGCTACCACTTGTCCCTGTAAAATCACCTCAGTTATGCCAGAAGTTTTACCTCCCATTTTTCCTACAGGAAGTTCCTAGCTGTATGAATCCGTCTGTACCAGTAACTTCCCATCTCTTCCCAAACTCTACAGTTTCTGTTCAAGTTGGGCAATCGGATTAGTTAACAATTGGTTCTAGCAAAACAGACAGGGATAAATTATGGCCGTGCACACCTTGTTAACCTCCCCTGTAAGTGTTATCAGAAAAGCAGGCTACAGTACGTGTCTGAGGCAGTGTTTGCAGTGTTTTAACTGAATCTGGGCACTGCCCTTGAATCCTGAGGCTCCAAGGCATATTCCCAAAGTGTACTCTCTTCACATTCAAGAAAGCTTATTTCATCCCCTATCTTAAAGATCCTAACCACCAGCTGAGCAACCCTAAATGGGCAGAGGCCAGCAAAAGGCACAGCTCCTGCTCTTGGGTGCCTTGTGAGCCATCTGTCTGTCAGGTGTCCAGTGACCCTTGCCAAGTCAACTTCATTGTTAAGGTGACCTTCCCCCTCGCCAACCGACCAAACAAGTCTGACTGGAAGTAGTTTATCATCCAAGGTGATCGGTTCAACCCTTCTAAACGGTCACTGTGGTGCCAAGCTCCTTTAGTGGTTTTCTTTATCCCAAATATAGCTTAAAGGGCTGTGAGAAGGCAAAGACGTCCGTGTAGTTACTGGCACTTGTAGGACAGAATCATCTCACACAGAACCCCGAAACCCCACAGTATCTGAACTGCTAAAGATGCCAAACCCCACTCAGTTCAACTACTTACATGCTTACAATTTAGGCAATGCCAGTCACACACTCCAGTAATCCAGGCTTCAAAGATACATAACCCCAAAATATCAATGATAAGATGTGTGTAAGTGCTTCAGTTTCTTCTGATTTACCTGCTTTTGAGCATTAAATGCTTCCACTTTAGGACCACAGGCCCCAGTTCAAAAAGGCACTCACATGCACACAGGTACACAACTCAAATTAAGTCCTACTTAGTTCAGTGGCTGCATATGTTGTTGAATCACAGTGCTCTTTGCAGTCAGGATTTGGTGTCTGTTGTCCCTTGGACTCTGAGGAAGAAATCACCTACCTCTCCAAGAATTATTGTTTTCAGAAACATTCGGGGGGAGGGGGAGAAGAGGGATGGGAGAGCTGTTGCACATCAAACTATTTGCAATTTAAAATTTTTTATTAGTTTGGTTTGTGCTTTCCTGCTATTAAAAAATTGCCACACTGCTATCAAATATGAAATCAGCTATCAGTTATTTGAATACATTTATCCTCAAAAGAAAGAAAAAAGCTGATGCCTGGTAATAGAATTCTCTCTCAGCATCACAGATAGGGGCATTTTGCCACCCAAATATCCACCCTGATAGGCAGGAGCTTTTCTTGTTATTAAGGTCATCCAGTGAGGCAAAACCAAAATATATAGGCACATGGTCACTGCTAGTAGGTAATGCCTACAAATCCTTTTGCTTCTTCTGCAAGTGTGAATCAAGTACAAACGTAGTCAAACCTCCTGTAAAACTTTTTGCTAGATTTCAAGTATGGAAGAACGGCAACAATACTTCTAAAAGATTGATAGGTCTAACTACATAATTTCCTTCTGACATATATTGCAATGCACAGTTGCATCTCCCTGTTCATCTTAAGAAGCTAGTGCAAGGAAAGCAAGAGATGCTTTCTTGAAATGCCAGCCATCCCCTCAACAAGCCATCATAAACAAAACCACAACTTGGCGGTTGCTGATATTTTTAACTATGCAAAACAGCACCCAAAGCCAATCATACGGAGGGGACAGGGTGTGAGCAACAAGTCTAAGATCACCTTGACAAAAAGCTGGTTTATTTTGTTTAATAAACTGCAGTACTTCGTTCTATAACAAACTCCTCAGAGTTTAGATTTAGTCTTAAAAACCAGAATGTTATCAGAAATAATGTATGCTTAGCATTAGTAATTAAAGTGACAAACTGTGAAGATGCATTTATATAACACATTGTACTTAAGTTATTCATTGTAAATAGGGATCCAGGGTAAAAACAGTGATCAGGCATGGTAGAGAAATTGAAGAAGCAAGGATTATTAACACGATGCTCCTCTTAGAGAAATGATTAGTGTATCTATGGCTTTCCGTAGACACAACAGTAACTTTATTTAAGTCTTATTATAAGCTAATGATAGATGCAGTAATAAAACCTTGTCTCAAGCTTCCAGTGTGCCTCAGCATAATCACTTTGAAAAAGAACAGGGATTTCAAACAACCTAGCGTCTCGCAACTCTTCTTTGAACTACCGTGGAAAACAGCTAACATAGGAAACCCCAAACAACATTTTTTGAGAGAAGTGGACTTGTTACAGAAGTAAAAATATAGGCGCTCAGTTAGCAATAACCTGCTGGGGGAAAAAAAAATAAAAAAATCAGT